TCCCTTTAAATACCCACATTCCTCCTAAATGCAATAGAAAAATGTAGTGAAGAGGAGATTTAATTAGTTCCTTTTCAGTGGTTAAAAGGTGAAGTTTTGGCACTTTCTTCAAAATAATCCCTTAAAATTATATATTCAACATATGTATATTATTTGGACCCACAATTGGTGAGACTTCTGATTTAATAATCTAAGCTCAATGATATCCTTAAATAAATAATATTCTCATGATTTAAAGGCTAAAAGTCACATGTCTTTATAAACTGGAAGAAAGTCTCTGGATCATCTTTTCTTTCACCCACCTCATATTACCAATGACGTAACAGAAGCACATGAGGTGAAGCGACTTTGCCAAGGTCACATCAAGTCACCGACTGACTGCCGAACAGCACCCGGATGGATTCCAGATCACCCGACTCCCAGCCCAGTGCCATTTCCTTCCTCCCTGTCCTCTCCAATTTATTCGTATAGAACTAACTGACCAAGCAGAAACAATTGGGAATAGTCAGGCCTCTATTAATAACAACCTGCTTGTCATATAGTACAATATCGTTTACAAAGCATTTCCCAAATACTTTATCTCCTTGAATCCCTGCCTCAAGAACCCCAGATGCAAGATATTTACCTCCACTTACAACTCACTAGGCCTAGAAAGATAAAATGAAATGTCCAAGGTCACAGAGCTAAACTTGAACCCTGATTTTTTACAACACATCTTGTTCTCTTTATGTAAATCCACAGCGATTTTTGTTATAGAGATGGAATCAAAGAAAAAGAATTGTTCACTGTAACCCTTATTTGCATCCTATTAAGCCAAGATTCTAAAGGGACTTCACCAGTTAATTTGAGAAGTGTTTATTAATATAGAAGATCATTTCAAAAGAATGTTAACACTAACCAGATGAATAACCCATGCAAAAATAACAGATGAATTGTTGAGGGAAAAGACAAGACAGTCACTGATATGCATGTCCAGAAAAGGGATTCACACATCAAGGACAAGAAAGGCCTTCATTACCCATTTATTTCAGTTTCCACTTTTGAATTGAGGAAACTGAAACACCTCTAATCTCAGACATCAGAAAGCCTGAGGTTATCCTAAACAACAGAGGTTATAATAGTTGTAGCTCCAGAAATGCCACCCTTGGAACTGATGCAGAAGACTCTTTGTTGGGACTCACAAAAGGTCCTGAGAAGTACAATCTCAGTCACTAATGCCAGGGGTGTAACTAAAGACAAGGCTGTACTTAGAATACAAGGTGGTGTTCAGAGCTGGCTTTATGGGAGCTGACAGAGAACAGCACATCCAGTCTGTGAAGAAGAAAGAGAACCAGAAGACCAGTCACAACACAGATGCATAAACAGTAATGAAGAATCATACTGTTTCTCATTGTTCAAGAATGAGAACAATAGAGAATGTTTAGTTTCTCATTTTTAGAAATAGCCCAGGAATTGCTTCCACCAAGGTGGAGGAGAAAGTTTTTGTGCCTAGTCAGATTTCCCAGGGATGAAGATTAATAATTCTCTCCCATGGACAACAGGAAGTTAAGTCATAAAGAATAGGATCCATTATTCAGAAGGCTCTAACAGCCTGGGGTGAGAAATGAGAGATATTTCAAAAGTGAAAGAAGAAAAACTTGAAGCATTATGTGCTACATGTATATCATCCCTGAGACTTTAGCTACTTTTTGCCTTGGATATAATGAAAAGTGCTATAAAAATTAAATAAACAAAGATGTTAATATATTGAGAACTTTATAGTATTCACTCAGTTTACCTTCTATTGTATACTTAACATGTGGCAAGCCACTGAAATTACAAAGAAGACATAGCTCTTGTCTTCATGAAATTCACAACCTAGAAAACAAACTATGACCCAAGGAACTATAGTGTAGCATAGAAAGACATCAACACCACAGGAGAGATTTGAAGGACCAGGGAAAGAAGGACTTCTTAGAAGAAGAGCATCAGGAAAAACTGTATTGAGAAAATTACAATCTAAGCATCTGTGGAAATAAAAAGTTAATATACTTTGGGAAAATATTATAACTTTCAAATTGTATTTTGCATTTAATGAGTGATATAATTATTGCTAGTATTATATTACTGATAAAGAACTGACAATTGGACAATATATTTTTATAGTTCTTGGCTTCCCCGTAATATAGCATTTGCTAATCATTAGTTAAGTCATGAAACTGTATATTTAACAAAATACATTACATTCTTAAGTGTTCACTGAAGACAACATGGTCTGCCTCTCCAAAATGTTTATATTATATGTTTATACATCTGTTGTGTGTTTTCAAGACAATGTAAACACAGAAATGTCTCAAAAATATATTACAAAATGACATACCAAAGCTTCATCTGGGCAACTGTACCCTGAATTTGCTGGCTGATTTTAAAATCAATCAATACTAACCTGTACAAATAAAAAGAGCGCTGTTCTTCTAGTTTAAGAATGGTAAACCTGCTTTCAAAAGAATCAGTGAGAACTCCGAGCCATTCTCTCTTTATGGCATTACATGAAAGGCTTGGAGTCTTGTGTCTATATCCAAAGTACAGTTCCTTCATTTAAGTTACTGCTTTAAAGAACTTCTTAGAGGTTTTTAAAATCAGTACTTCCAGATCTATGAGACTCAGAGCCGCTGATTAAAATTTCAGTCATACCAAAAAATAATTGGGCTTTTGGGTGGGGGCTCAATATAATTTAGGGGAAAATATATTACTGTGAGACTCAAGAAACCTAAGTTTCAGTCTTGACTTCACCAGGATTGAGCCAGCTTTTCTCTGAGCTTCAGTTTTTACAGATAAAATGAGGAAGCTGAAAATGACTTCCAAATTCTCTTCTGACCAAGTTAAGACTCCATTATGGTGCTGGGAAATTATTAAGTTTGCCAGTTACAAATTGGCAAGAGCATTGTTCTGGAAAATTATTGCTTGAATAGTGAGAGTTAAGACACATTTCCAATCATGAATTTTGAAGACAGACTTAATCACTCCCACCCACTATAGCCTTTAGCACTTGTTAATATCTCTATTATGGCATTTACCATATTGCATCTTGAACATTGGTGTCTGTCTTCCATGATAGCTTGGAAGGTTCATGAGGTCAGAAAGTGTCTGTTATTCATTATCCTGTTTTGCCAATGCATAGCAATATGCATGACTTGGGGTCTGTCTGTGTCCAATGTATGTGTGATAAGTAGAAGAATAGATGAATGAGAATGTCAAAGGTAATTTAAAAACCTGTCTGGAGATGATCTTGGTAATTTTCTTAAGCTAGTAACTTTTTAAAAGCTATTTGCACGGTGCTTTCTCAAGGAAAGGATATCTTAATGACCCTTATGTCTGACAACGTACAGTATATTGGATAAACTAAGGGGGCTGGCCAGAGTACTGCTGAGAACTCCCCAAAATGCTACATCAAGCACTTCTGAGTTGAGAGTATCTTTCCAAGGGATTATTTAGTATTTTTGGAATGTAAAGAGACTTCCAAGTAAGGATAAAACATTGAATACTGGCTTTTACTTTAATTCCTACTAGAAACATAATTAAAAGTACAAGAAATTGATGTGTGTGTTTATATGTTTTGCATAAATCTTTAAAGACGGAACAAGAGAGAAGACAACAACAACAGAAATTTGGAACCATAAAACCAGCTGGTGAAGATATATCTGAGAAAGCTGAATCCTAAGTCAGCAGTGGAGAGAGCCAATAGGCAACCTAACTTAGATTGCAAAAATCTTCAAAAGTTTAGACAGTGGTAGTACCATGTTTGTCTAGAAGTGAGGAGAAGGAGAAAAAGGTAAATTATGTAAAAATGGTGGAAAATTTCTTTTTAGGACAGTGTTATAACCTCAAATCCTCTCCCAAACATCGAGCATCTAGGCAACTGCCCTCTGCAATCTCAGTAGAAGAATAGATATTTATTCTTTGTAGTGAACAGAACAAAAATTCTGTGCATAGTGGGCAGAGTAAATACCACACTGAAAATTAGGAGAGATTAAGTGAGCATTTATACATATTGCCAAAACCCACAGGACCCTCAAAACCAGGTCTTTGCTATTCAGGCAGAAGAATGGAAGAGTCTGTTTGAGGAATCTTATAAACATAAGAGGTAAAGACCTAAAGATATGGACCTCAGAAGCTCCACAATGAAAAACCCACCAACATCACTCTACAACTAAGATCATTGACAACAAGCCCCACCCATATACATAGAGCTTCCAGTCACATTTCCCCCCCCACACACCCACTTTTAAATATGAACAGGCAACCAAATATAAAAACATCTGCAGAAAATCTCTAACATGAAAGAAATAAAAACAAAAACCTTACTGGAAACAAAGATTATGGAGGGAGATTAAAACTTCTCTAAAAACATAAATCATAAATATTCTCAACAAAGTATTAGAAACTGTCACATCTGTGAAATAAAATGGCATAATATAAAATGAAATAATCAAAGAAAACTGACAAATAAGCCTCTTGAAAATTAAAAATCTGATACCAGAAATTAAAGACAAAATCTGAGAAAAAAAAATAAAATATAGACTTGAGCTTATAATCTAGAAGACAGAGAAAAGACAAAAGAGGTAGAGAATAGAAAATAAAACATATGAATAATAGAAACCTATGAAAAATTATCCAAGATATAAACATTTAAGTAAGATTTCCAGAATAGCAGAACAAAACAACAATAAGAAAAAAGCATAGAGTAGGAGATCATTAAGAAAATAATCTAAAAAACTAAATGATTTTCAATTTTCTAGAGATTAAAGAAAAAATTCTAGTATTAAAGAAGAGTTTCTACAGTAAATACACAGCATAATAATGAGTGAAAATAAAACTGTAAGAAGGCAACTTACTATCAATTTTCAAAACACTGAGAAAAAAGAATAGACACTACAAGTTTTCAGAGAGAAAAAATATCAGGCAGGCATGTACAAAAAATAAGAAATCAGAATGATAGAATGACATCAAACTGGAACAACAAAGCTGGCAGAAAAAAAGATGTTGTAATGGTGTAATTTAAATTCTGAAAGAAAATTATTTTAAACTTAGAATTCTATACCTAACCAAATTATTATTCAAATATGAGGAAAAATGCAGAAATTTTCCAAAATGAAAAGCCCAGAAATTTTACTCTGTATCCCTTTTTTTTAGGAAGCTATTGGAGAATGTATTCCACCAAAATAATAGAGTGAACTAAGAAAGAATAATACAGAGGATACAGGAGAACAAGGGATCCAAGCAAATACCTGCAGAAATTTTCTAAGGTGATGGAAAAGGAGATCTCCGGACCAAAGCAATGCACATAGCACTCAGTGCTCAGGTTCTGAGGACTACTACTTCAACATGAAATTGATAGAATATCTGTGCATCTGAGTGCCTTAAGATGCGATTCAGACAACTGGCAGGAACTTGGATTTAAATATAGTACAAAGTATGTAGAAAGCTGGGCACATAAAAACAAGACAGTTATCAACCATAGAAAAAACAAAATCTTATGACAAAAGGAGGAGTAATCATAGCTTAATTTGTCTTAGTCATGAAAGTATTTACATAATCATAATCATGCAACTACTAAATACTGATCTAACAAAAATAACAACGTAACAGCCTCGGAAAGATGGTGAGATGGAAAAGATGCATGTTGTGGTAAGAATGTGATAAAGGAGAGAATTGAAAGCTATTTCCTTCCATCAATAAAAAGAGCTGAGAAATTAAGAGGAAGAAGAGAATATTGTTTAGCATACAAAGGTAAATATCAACAAGAGTTGAAAGTGATTGTAGGAATAAAAATGGGAGAGGGGACAAGAAACTACTATATTTCACAATATACTTTCTATAACTGTGACAAAAATAGCACGTAAAAACAGAAAAAGAAAAAAGAAATCACCTCAAATTTTATGCATGAGAGATTGTTTTTATACTGCTTTTGCTCTAAAAGCATTTCTGCTGGAATTGAGTATCACAGGAGATTGCAAGTCTGTTCCCCAACATCCTCCCATCTTTACTAAGACATGATTCAATGGGGTCAGCAGAGATTAAAAGAGGTTGCTTAGAGAAAAGACAAGGCTGTCGTTGCCATCTGTCTAACCGCACCTTATGGTTAATAGATGAAAATCATCTACTGACCTTCATCTTCAAAATCTTGTTGATAAATCTTGTACCACTCAAGCTGAGACCTACCCTATACAAGGTGCTTTCTAGATTTCGACCACTGATCATGATGATCCAGTTTGGTATGATGTATCTTCCTGGAACAGTTTTTTGTTTGTTTTTGAGACAGGGTCTATCTAGCTCTGTCACCAGGCTGCAGTGCAGTGGCGCAATCTAGGCTCACTGCAACCTCTGCCTCCAGGGAAGAGATTCTCCTGCCTCAGCCTCCCAAGTAGCTGGGATTACAGGCATACACTGCCACGCCCAGCTAATTTTTGTATTTTTAGTAGAGACGGGGTTTCACCATGTTGATCAAGATGGTCTTGATCTCCTGACCTTGTGATCCACCCACCTTGGCCTTTCAAAGTGCTGGGATTAGAGGAGAGTCACCACTCCCAGCCCTTACTGGAACAGTTTTAAGAGTTTGATTCAAAATCAAAATCTTTGTGGAGCTGCCATACTTTACAGCACTACACTGAACTACAACTGAAGCCACACGTTGGAAGTGTAGTGTTTCATTTAAACAATTAAGCAAACCTGAATCCATCAGACTCAGCAAAACCCCATGGCTATGATTTTGTACCAGAAGCTATAATGAGGCAGTTTGGAGATACTTAAAATAATAACATCTACATTGTACTGAATGCTTATTAAATGCCAGGTAGTGTGGCATATACTTATATTATCTCATTTAATAGTCAAAACAACTCTATAAATAGCTACTATTATTACCTCCATTATGTAGATAAGGAAATTCAGGATTATGGAGATTAGGGCCCTTGCCCAATGTCTTCAGCTAGGAATTAGGCAAACAAAATTCAAGACCAAAATTGGATTCAGAAACTGTTCTTTTAGCATCTCTGCCTTCTCTAAAGAAAGGTCATCAGAATATCAAAAATATTCCACTGAAAGAGTGATGGGTGAGTTTGAAAACAAATATATTTCTGACGTGAGTCTTCATATATTTAAGCATAGAGGAGTTTGAGAAAATTCATATAACACAGTTGCGAAATGCATGTATATTGATACTTGTATAGTTTTTACTCTGTTATAAGACTTAATAATTTACATATCTTAAGAAAATAATTTTTAAGCCTGACACTTTGCAAAAGGTTCTTTTCAAAAGGACCTTTCTCCTAGAATACTAGTCTATAAGGTTCAATGCTAGAATTTTAGAAAGTTGAGAGCCAAAAGTAAACAGAAATGAAACTTATTGTTCCATTAAGCAAGAGAAGTGTGTTAGCAGCAGAGGTTGGCAAAGATCAGAGTGAAATACTGGGTCACAGCATTTCTTCTGGACCTGACAGTGTACTTCTAAGTGTGCCTTGCTTTGCACAGTAGATGTGTTTTTGAAAAGCTAGTGAATAATTAAAGCTTTGTAAGTAGAATTGTATTCTATAAGTCCTAAGAATCTGATTTTTTAAAGATGATTAGAATAGTCAATGTTTTTGAAATGTAAATGAAATCATCACCTACATTACATAATTTGTAATAGATTTCCACAATTTGCCTCCAACCATTCTTCCTTTCTTATATGATCCATTATCTACTGTATCCTGCCCCTAACCCTGCAGGATTCATGAGGAAAGAGTGTCAGTACTACATTCACCTCCTAAAACAGTGTCTAGTACAATAAATTCACACTTGATGAATGAACTAACCAATCCATTAATCTTTTCCTAGTTACTACATGTATATAAATGTCTCTCTACCTTTGCGTATATTTCATCAGCCTAGAATGATTTTCCAATGTTTTCGTTTTATCCCTTCTGCAAGAGTGAGTTCAAATGGCAGCTCCTTCCTAGATTTGGAATTCCTCTCTATATTCCCAGAAGATTATATTTAGGTATCTTGTGTAATAGGGGATAGTTTAAACCTTATCTTTAGTCATCGGTTCCTGGCCTGTAACACCTAGCCAGAGCAATCCACACAGACAATATGATGGTAAAAGTAAATTTAAGCTAAATTTCACATGCATTGCCAGCTGTCAGTTCTTCCTAGGTTTCTGTTTATGCATATCTTCAAAAGCTGATTTGTGAGATGTTCTTGAGGTCAAAAACTGTGTGGTTTTTCATGTCTAGTCCAAGTGACAAGCAATGTGCATGGCACAGATCAATGGATACATCCAAGCATCAATCTTTGTATTAATTAATTAACCAGTGTGGTTGCGGGTAATGCTGGGGTAATTGTCTATATGTGATCTCATTTACTCTTTTAAGCTACAGAATTCCCTCATGAGAATGCTATCCCTGATCCCTTATTCTGGTATTTCTGAATTATCAGCAAAATATACATCTATTTCTAGATTAAATTCCCAAGCACAAGAGAATCTTAGACTACATTGTCTACACCAGGGACTCTCAAAGATCTAGACTAGCAGCATCAGCACCTTCTGGGAACTTGTATAAAAGCAAACTCTCAGGTTCACTCCAGGCTCACTGAATCAGAAACTAGGGGTGGGGCCCAGTGATCTGTGTTTTGGTACACACTTAAGTTTGAAAACTGGTCAGAAAGTTGTCTTCACACTTCCGACATGAACAATGCAATGTTCCCTGGACCCAGTCAACGACGTCAATATCCCTGTTAAAATAGTCAAGTTCTTTGTTCTGAAGAAATTAAACTTCATTCTAAGCCAGACAATGGGAGGAAAATAGGATTTTAAAAATCAATATAATGAATTGATATCACTGCCATTCCATTTTTATAGCATAATTTAAAATGAGCGTTTCTTAACTACATTGTTTGGAACTGCATACCACAGCTGCATGGCATTCTATGGTTCCAACAGGTAAAAATGATTGAAATAAAACCAGGCAAGATGAAGAGGAATCTTAAAGATTTTAAGACAAGAATTCAGCCCCATAAAGAAGCAGAGGAAGTAGTAAGCCGAAGCGTCAAATGCTAACAACAAGCATAACAACAGTAGCAGCTGTAATTATTGACTACTAATTTTAGATTTGGTTCTTAATATATATTTTCCTCATTTGTCTCATTAATCTTGAAAGAGAATTATTGTACAAATTAGGAAGCAAGGCCACAGAAATAGCTCTTACCCAAGTTACAGAGACTAAAAAGTTGTTAGTTGTGTGTTTGATTTTAAGTCTTAGGATCTTTCTACCACACCACTGAGCTTCCTTGATAAGCAGAACAGTTATTCATTTCGAGGGTTAGAAAAAGAAGCTGCAAACCGATGCTTAATTAAGTCCTTAGGGTTGGAAGCCAGTGTAAGGTACAGAAGAGCCTTGGATTCTTTCTTCAGCCCACCTGATAATAGGCAGAAAGTCCCAGTGATTCCTCAAGCCTGTATCTCATTGGCCCAGGGCTTGAGTGAGACTAAGCCTGCAGAGATTGGGTATTCTGAAGGTTAATAAAATCCGTGCATATACAGTGGGACTAGTTTTTCAGTAACAAAAGAAGGTTGATTAGCTTATAAGACTATAGTAAAGTATGCCTTAAGTGTTAAGTAGTGGTTAAGCTCATAGACTCTGAAGCCAGTCTGCAACTCCCTAGCTGTGTGACCCGGGCAAATTACTTAACATTTCTAACTTTTCTAATCCCTAAAATAGGGATGACAATAGTGCCTGCCTCACTGGGTTTTTATGAGGCTTAAGTAAGTCAATATATGTAAAGCACAGTGCCTCAACATAGTAAAAGCTACATAAGCATTATTTCAAAAGACTTAGTTGTATTTTCAAATGTCCTTCCAATGTTTGACATGAATAAAGCAAAGAATGAAGAGCATTTTTAAGTTTATCTGGATTTGTTTAAGTTTATACTTGAGCACAACACCTACTATAGTTTTTTTCCAATAAAACATAGAAAAAAAAATCTGCTTTTTGGGG